ATGTATGTATGTATGTATGTATGTATGTATGTATGTATATATGTATGAATGAATGAATGAATGAATGAATGAATGAATGAATATATGATAATAGTAAAATCTAATACAAACTAAACTTAAAGAAAGAAAAGAGAATAGAAGGAGTGAAAAGTACAAGGGAAAAGAAAAAGAAAGAGAAAAGTAAGTATATAATAAAGACAAAAGAAATATATAAAGAAGTGACTTCCAACCTTCATCACGACAAGTACAAACAAATTTAGTAACTCTTCATCCTCCCTAAAGATACAAACATTGATCTCTTCATCCTATATCCCACCTCTTATCTATAAACAGATCCATAGAACATCATCTTTTCAGTCCTGGTATCAGCAGGAAGTCTGTAAAGGGTAGTCAGAAGTAACAATCATACCTTGTTTTAAGCTTGATCTAATAAACCAACTTTATATTCCTTACTTTTACTTCTAACATGCTTAATCTTTAGTTCATTCAAATATTGTCATAGGAGTTGATTTCTCTTCATTTCTTCTTTGTCCCATTGCATAAGTCCCATTGTTCTTCAGGGCTTTAACAAGCCTCTTTTGTAAATCCAATAGGAAAAAATAAAAAAAATTATACAGGTCACTCTATTTGTTTGTCATTTGTATTTCTCTTTTAAATTTTAAAATCTCAACCAGTTTCTTTTGTAGATCCAGTGAAAACATCCTTTTCTAAATCATTATTTTGGCCTGTCAGTTGTAAATCCACTTTCAATACCATCTCTACCTTGTCACATAAAATTTGTTCTACATCTGACATTTCTTAACATTTTTTAGACAAAGTCTATCCATAGAAGCAGATATCATTACTGACATTGTTGATATTGTGGCTACTAATTTCTAGCTCCATTCTTCAAAAATCTCCTTCAGTATTTTTATTGTTATAACATTTTGCACCATCTTACAGGCCTGCATATCTTTCCTTTACCTAAAATCTTTAGTCCCCTCTAGTGTCCAGTTTTTGAAATCATGAAATTATTTATCAGTGTAAAAACCAAAACAGGATCTATTTCCCATGAGAAGCTCTTTGTACTTTAGAATTAATAGTTTAGAAGCAGTTAATGAGCAATTTCTGAAAGTGATTAGAAAGTGAGGTTTGTGAACTTAGCATCCTTTAAAAGTCTTTGCCGCAGTTGCGAGCAAGATGGCTAATCCTGTGGTGTCCTGGCACTCAAACCTGCAGAAAACCGCTGTCCTGCAATCTTGCAGGTAGCAGCTGCCTGGAGCACATGTAGGCGATTTCATGTCTTCCCCTTATCCAGAGGGATTCCAAGGAACCTGTCCACTCACTCATTACTTGGTTTTTGCCTTCAGTTGGCAAAGACCAAGGAACCAGTTGGCTCCATTTTCGCAGAGCTGCCTTCAGTTCACCATAACTCCCCTAGAAGTGAAGAATGAAATATTATGATTGGTCAGAATATTCCTTTCGTTATTAGGTTATTATTCACATTTTACAGATAGGTAATTAATTGCTGAATAAAATATTTTTGAATATTTTTATTGAATTTCTTGAAAGCTACACATGCAATTTAATTTAAATAAGTTTATATATTTTAAAAACAAAAATAAAAACCTAAAATAATACAACTAGCAATTAACATAAATATGAAACAGAAATAAAGTAAAAAGGAAAAGAGGAAGAACAGTCAAGTTCAGTAACATTACTTTTCTGCAATACAAGAAATGTTTATTAAATACTTTCACAAATTACTACAATTCCATTTTAAAAAAAACATAAGCCACATTAAATGATCTTTCCTTTCTGTCAATAAAAAGTTCAAAATCTGAGAATTTTTAAAGTCTGGTATATACACATCCTTCTAGTAATATAGAATCACCTTTTTTGCAACACACATGGTGCATCCACAGCTCCTGGTAAATAGATAAGTTCCAAATTTTGGGGATATAATCTAACAATACAGCTATATCTTTAAGCTTCATT